CGGGCGCCTGGCGGCGGGTGCAGGAGTTACAGCCGGCGAAAATCAGAAATACTTGAAAGCGGAGGGGACGAAGGAGTGATACCTGTATTCTGGATAGACAGTTTAAAGGAAATACCAGGTTTATGCTATATTTTATTGGATAATACCTGCCTAGTAGTCTAAGGCTTCTGACATTTCTGAGTGTTGTTTTGTCTGAAGAATTCTTTCTCTGATTAGAAAAGGAGGATCCAAATTTTCCCCGGATAACAAGTGTGTGGGGGAATTTTAGTTTAGAAAACTTACCTGTATTCTGGATAGACAGTTTAAAGGAAATACCAGGTTTATGCTATATTTTATTGGATAATACCTGCCTAGTAGTCTAAGGCTTCTGACATTTCTGAGTGTTGTTTTGTCTGAAGAATTCTTTCTCTGATTAGAAAAGGAGGATCCAAATTTTCCCCGGATAACAAGTGTGTGGGGGAATTTTAGTTTAGAAAACTTTATTTCTGAATCAACTGTGAAATGAGTCTCTCTGATTTGTTTTTCATTGAGGATATATTTTCTTCTCAGGATGCATACTTAATTTTCCTTTATTGTTAAAATAGAAGAGTGATATGTTGGCATGGAAAAGCCTTTAGTTGATCACAAGAGGCAGTTGCCTTCCCAATTACGGATTTTCCCCTATGCCTCAATCGCTTGTTTGGGACACAGGGGAACTCTGGGGTCCGTTCTGCTTCAGTGTGCCGTTTGAAATGCACTCAGCTGAGAAAATGAAGATAACTGCTACCCCCCTGTTTTTCACGCAAGTGCATTTTATACTTATTGGCATATATAGGCCGCTTCCAAAGAGTATTTTAATTAAGGGAAGCTTTTTTAAAAGTAGGATATTGTTTTTATCTGTTCAGAATGGAAATGTACACCTTCAGGAATGGTACAAAAATAACTTTGTGAGTTCTTCTGGCTAAACTAGGGAACTATCGTTTTCTTTCCTCTTTGTGTGTGTGTGCACGTGCTGTTTTATGTCAGTGTCGTGTTTTATCTCCTAAAGGGAAAGTGTTTACAAACTTAAAATGTCTGAACAACTGTTCTTCATCTGCTCTTCATTTTGCATTCTAGTTAATTTTTGTGCTGGTGTTTCTGCTTGATTTCAGAATATGTTTAAACTTTCATTTTCTGTATCTTTTCTACTCTTTAACATAGACCATTTTGGTGCAGATGCCAGGAGATTATGGAAAGCATTCTTACATTTCTGTTTGACTTTTTACAATTCAAATTTAAAAATCTCCAAAAAGTTAAGTTTTGAAAAGTAAACCAAACTCCATGAAACTTATGGTCAAATCATGGGAGCTGGTCCATCCGTCTGTCTTAGCTATACCTCTGGGGTAAAGCTGTGCCGTCTGATATTTGAATCAAATTACACATTTAATGTTCCCGGCAGATGGTGGCAGTAGTGTGCAACAGCAGCTTCTCTTGTTACTCCTCCTAAAATCATTATTTTCTACTCTTTTTTTTTTTTTTTTCCCATGGAAATGTGCTACATTAATTTATTAACACAGGATTGATCTGGCAAGTATTGTACATCCTGAAATCCAGCTACAGGGGTATGAACTGATGCTGTCAGCAGTATACAAGGGGGTGGCCCTTTTCAACAGTAATTAATTCTTTAAAGTTGCTGGTAATCTATCTTCAAGAAATACTGCTTTGAACTAGTTGTATTATTGTTTTTGTCTGTTCATTATATGTAGCTGAACTTCTCCAAATACTTCTTTAAGTGCATTCTAAATGGAAGTTTCAACTTTGATGGAAAGAATAAAAACAGGAGTGTTTGGCATTAAATTCATATTACTTTCAGTACTGATTTTGAAAATAATGTTATCTTCCACTTTCAGAATTAAATAGCCACTTCTTGTATCCCCCTGCAATTTCTCATCACCTTTTATCTTTAGAAATGAAAAGTCTAGGAAAAAAAGTACGTTAGCATTTCCCTTTGTTTAATCTTTCTATATCTGACCAAGGAGATTTTTCTGCGAACATGACCTAAAATTTTTATGACTTTTCCTGACATGGCGTTAATAGTTTATCTGATGCTGCAGATGCTTGTAAGTGAAGAGACTAACAACTATCATAGTTGGGGATTCAATTTTGATTTGAAGTCATTATCAAGCATGAGTGAGTAAGGGTACTCATCTTGTCACTAATATAAGAAGCATTGGATTAAACTACAATAATTGTCGCTTGCCACTAACTTACTTGTAAGACTTAGTGTGAAACTACCCACAGAACAGACTGGTAGTTGTGAGATTCTTAAGGGAGGATGAAGCTACAGTAGTGGTATAATAGCACATTATTTTAGTTGATGTCAGTAATCTACTCTCTTCCTCTTCATGATGGCTAGTTTCTGCTAAAGCCTTGTTGGATTTTGAGAAATTTTATTTAAAATTATACTTTACAGCAGTAAAGCATTTGTAACTCCTTAAGAGTTCATTTTCCAGACTGGTGCTTGACCCCTGCACAGATAAGATGTTAATAAACTGGAATGAGTTCAGGAGAATGGCCATGGCAGTGGTCAGGGCTGGAGCACTTGCTGTGAGGGGAGGCTGGGGGTATGGGGCTGGTTCACCCTGGGAAGAGACGGCTTTGAGGGAAGCTGGTGGCAGCCACTCATGCTAATGAGGAGACAAAACCAGGCTCATCACAGGGATGCCTCACAGGAGGATGAGTGGGGATGGGCATAGACTGAAAAAAAGGAAGGTTCGGGCTGGTTTTAAGGAAAACCTTTTTCAGCGTGAAGACAGTCAAGCACTGAAGGGGGTTGCTCAGGGAGTTGTGCAGTCTCCATCCTTGGAGATTTTCAAGACTAAGCTGGATAAAGCCCTGAGCAACCTGGTCTGACCTCACATTCGACCCTGCTTTGAACAGGAGGTTGGACTGGAGACCTCCTGAGGTCCCTTCCAACCTGCATGATTCTGTGATTCTAAGCAATATATATTTATATTTTTGAAGTAGAACTTAAAGCTTGTAGAACTTAAAGCACCAAAAGTAGAACTTAAAGCACCAAATATCCAAGTCTGGCAGGTTTAACAGCGTCAAATTTTTCCTCTCCGTTTCTCTCATTGCCTTCTGTTAAGAACCGTTCCTTCCCCTTCAGAAAGAGGCTTTGAACTTCCCCAGGGGAGAACAGTGAAACAATGAGTACCTTTCTTTGTGGATCCATTGCTAATGCAGCTTACCCACAAAACTAACACAAACTTACAGTGAGATTGTTGTCAACTGCGCTATCATAATTCATTAATTGTGAGTTATAAAACATTTCAGTTCAGAAGGAGTGGGTACAACTGTTTGGGTTGGATTCCATTCATTCTGTATGATAGTCACCCATTCCTTTTGAAAGCAGCTCTTTACTGAATTGTCATGATATTAAGGTATGCTTCAGGGTCAGCATCTGTTTTCTGCATATTTACAGTTACAATGCAGAAAAGTAGAGCAGAATTGCATCAACACTCAGCATTTGGTTTATTTAATACCGTATAATATGCTGATGGTAGGGAAGCATTGTGTTTGCTGCTATGGAGTTGCCTTTGGGACTGAAAATCACAGGCTGTCAAGCTATCTGACTTTTTTTTTCTGCTTTGGCACATTTTTCTTTGATGGGCTTGTTGTACTGACTTACTCACTTTTGCTCCTTTGAAATTAAGTTTCTTTGCAGACCTCTTGGGAAACTTACTACGGACCATTTTATGTAGACAGAAAAAAAGTTTAAAAAAAAAATTTCCCTGTACTAAAGTTTAGTTTCTGTACTCTTCAGAACCCCTGCCATACAGTGGGTATTGTATAGTTTTTACTTTCAACCCTGATGAGTCACTGAATCTTTGATCTCTTTTATTGATGAAATAATACATTTCTTGTAAACTGCAGGCTTCCATTTGGCCAATTTCATGTTGCAAGAGGGGTAGGACAAAGCCTGCCCATTTATGGGAGCCAGATCATCTGTGAAGTCACCCTAAGGAGAATTTGATCCCAGTAATACTCTAAATGTTTCTATTACAGGTTTATTTTCAGCTGCAGTTTCTGAACCTTATTTCAGTACTAATGTATTAAACTCTGCCTAAGCTCAATGCAGAAACACCACCTACTGTCAGTTAAAATCAGAACTATGTTCTTTGCAGTTACTAAGGTACTTCACGTTGCCTCTGTAAGCTCTGTTGCTCTGTGGCTAACACCTATTCAAGTAAAATTACTGTAGTATTTTAAACTGACAAATTATCATAGCATCACCTCTGCAAGATTTTCCATCTTTGCATACAATAGCCAAGATAAAAAGCAGATCATAAAATTCCCCAGGAACTTAACAGTGGTAGATATTGATTTTTAGAACTTACTATCTGTGCGAAAAGCCACTTAAATCAGCAAAATTCAGCAATCTGATGCTCTCTGAAAGATTTCGCCCTCTCTGCCTAATGATGACTCAGTATTTGAAGGCGTGTCAATATTGCAGTTGTCGAGATGAATGATGTTTCACCTAAATCAGTGGCATTTTGAGGAACAGATATACGGGTAAGATCTTCCGTGCTGTAGGTCAGCAGTAGCTAGAGATCTGGTCATATTTGCATAGGTGTGAGTGCTAATTCCTTAACCTATGGTTTACCAAAGACCAACAGAGGCTGTCCATTTCTTCTGAGCC